GGAAGAAGAGGCCAGCCGACAACGGGCGCTCAAACGAAACCACAAGCCACCAACCAATGGGGCGGAAGGGGGGCAGGAGACGGACGAGACGGCGAGGGGAGAAAGCAAACGAGAAGAATCGGACCGAGTGGCGCGACACGTGCAGGATTGAATTTCTATTGGCCCATTCCCCCTCCCCAACGCTGCACCATTGCACCAACCCCCCACTAGTGATGACGTACCATTACAATGCATCACTGGTTGGTGGCCATGTTTGCGTGTTTGCTTGTCGTTAGTGGTCTCTCCACCATGTGCCTTTTTCCGTCTCGTATTCTTGTTATTTTCGACCTGGTCCCTTTCCGTCCTCGCTCTTCTTATTTCATTTTCTCTTTCCTTACTGTTTCCGTTTATTTTCTTCTCTTTTTTCCTTTTTCTCTCTTTTTCTGTGCCAGATGGCCTTGTCTCTGCTTGCGTTGTGAAGTACCAAGATTGGACCAAGGGGGTGTACCTCATTCGCTCTGGTCCGTGATGGTGACGCATGGTCTCAGTTGTTACCTCGCATAGCGCGCAGAGGGAGTGGAGGACTCCAGAATAATATCTGTCGTTGATTTCTATTGACTTGCGGACCCCTCGGGGCCAGTTTATTTGAGCGTACGTTTAGGGTAAGATAACCTGTGAGCACGGGAATCGACCGCGTCGATGTGTTCGTGTATGTGCATATGTGGGAAGGATCTTAGGACGGTTCTGTGTCCCGTCGATGAAGGGACATACGATGGTACCTTGTGTGGTAGACTTTCGATGAGTCAGCGGTGCCCCCATGCTGTGTCAGCCTGCGTGGGGCACTCTCTTTCTCCCCTGTCTGTCGTGCGTTAGTCCTGCGGATCTAATACAAGCCATCAGCGAGACTTTCTAATCATTAGACACAAATACGGGCATACCCGACATAAGACTCCGGCTCAAAGAGTTATGAACACTCTAGAGTTAGCTTTCTCCATCGTCCTTGCGAGGAAACGAAAGAGCCCGTGCCAGCAACATGTCGGGAGAAGTCTCGCAGCAGGAGCTCGCCGTTAAACTCGGAGATGTTACGCGGGCGTTTACAGAACGCTTTGAGGAGAATCAGACCAGGACCGAGGCGAGGATGGAGCAGTCACTCGGTAGATTCGAGGGACTTTTGCTCCAGCAGCCCACGCGAGACGGAGGAGGAGGAGGGAGGAGGGTCACACGGCGCCGTGGTGGACAGGGGCGCCGCGGGGGGTGCGGTTGGAATCCCAGGGGGAACCGGGAGGGGTTACGCCGCAGGGAGCCTACCCNAAGTCTCGCAGCAGGAGCTCGCCGTTAAACTCGGAGATGTTACGCGGGCGTTTACAGAACGCTTTGAGGAGAATCAGACCAGGACCGAGGCGAGGATGGAGCAGTCACTCGGTAGATTCGAGGGACTTTTGCTCCAGCAGCCCACGCGAGACGGAGGAGGAGGAGGGAGGAGGGTCACACGGCGCCGTGGTGGACAGGGGCGCCGCGGGGGGTGCGGTTGGAATCCCAGGGGGAACCGGGAGGGGTTACGCCGCAGGGAGCCTACCCGAGACTGTGGGCCCTGGCGCTCGGGACAGCGGTGGCGTCAGCGGTGGATTAGCGCGCGGCAAAACACCTGAGCCTGTTGATCGCGGGAAAAGTACTCGGTCCGAGAGAGCTGGAGTATTGCAGTCGTGGCGATTCTGGTGAATGTCGACTTGTCGCAGAGGAGCAAATCCGCGCAATACTGCTGTGTTTTTGAAAGAGGGCTAACAACAGCGCGGCGTTGCCGCGGACACTTCATTTCTGGTTGATTTGTGAGTGATTTCTTGAGAGACCTTGCCTGTGACGAATGATACCGAAAGTTTGTGAAGGAGATTCGCAGTTCAGGCGTTTCTGATTTGGTGTTCGTAGAGCGTCTGTAGTTTCGCTTACCATGATACAGCCAATGATGTTTTCGAAAGGTGATTCGCGGTTCGGGCGTTTCCATTCTTGAGTGTGAGTGTTGTGTTGAGCAACAACTGTATTTGTCTCCATTCGATGATATACCCGAGCGTTTATGGCGGTCTTATTCTGGGAGGATATTCTAAGCTAGATGAGGGTGAAGCCTTTGTAAGGTAGGGAACCCACCATACCCAGCCCCAACACTCCACGCTCCCAGATCTGCCCAGATGTAGGGGGGGCGACGCAAGTTCTTAAAAGTGTGCTTTCCAGATGTAGGGGAAGGTACTAAGACGCGCCCCCAGATGAAGGGGGGGTAGCGCAAAATTTCGATGGTGTGCTCTCCAGATGTAGGGGAGGGTACTAACACGCGCCCCCAGATGTAAGGAGGGTAGCGAAAAAAAAGTTAATTTCGAAGGTGTGCTCTCCAGATGTAGGGGAGGGTACTAACACGCGTCCCCAGATGTAGGGGGGGTTGCGAAAAAAAGTAAATTTCGAAGGTGTGCTCTCCAGATGTAGGGGAGGGTACTAACACGCACCCCCAGATGATGTAGGGGGGGTAGCGCAAATATCTAACAGGTGTTATCTCCAGAAAAAAAGGGGGGGCATCTGTACGCGCCCGCCCCCAGATATAGGGGGGCAGCGACAGCAGACGCACCCCAGACGTGGGGCAGTACTTTCTTAACTGGCACATTCCCAGATGAAATGGGGGCGACGCGAGTCCAAGCTTTCCAGATGCAGGGGAGGGCAGCAGTTCTTCACCAGCGCGCCTCCAGATGTAGGGGGGGCGGAGCGGGTCCACGCTCTCCAGATGTAGGGGAGGGCAACTTTTCTTCACCAGCGCGCCCCCAGATGTAGGGGGGGCGACGCGGGTCCACGCTCTCCAGATGTAGGGGAGGAAAAATTTTCTTCACCGGCGCGCCTCCAGATGTAGGGGGGGCAACGCGGGTCAACGCTCTCCAGATGTAGGGGAGGGTAACATTTCTTCACCTCCGTGCCTCCAGATGAAGGGGGGGCAGCGCAGGGTTTTCGGTTGGGCGGTTCTCCAGATGAAGGGGGGAGCTGCTCGGTCATCACAGATCTCCGCCAACGCGCTTCCAGATGTAGGGGGGGCAGCGTAGGCATTTGTCGTTGCAGTCGGCGCGCTTACCAGGGTGGCGAGCAGCAGCAGGGGTCTTTGCTGATGGGTTGGTGGAGCCGGAGCCCGCTCGGCAACGGAGTCAAGACCCCTGCCGAGGCCGACATTTTTCGGTTGGTACCGTTAGCAGAGAATACTCGTAGCAGTTTTGAGTTTTTTGTGTGTAGTCGCAAAATATGGGAGGGAATCCAATGTTGCGTCAAACCGATGTTAGTGAACGTGCATGTCTCAGACGACTTCCCCTCAATGGCCGCTACGTGTTTGTATCGTATCAATGTTTTCCCTTGCTGTTTGAATTGTTCGCGTAGGACATTCGCAACAGCGAAACTCAAAGGCTAGATGTCACGGGGGAGCACTGTGGCATTTCATGCGCAGTGACGGTTTAGGTATTGATCTGATGTTCTGTTTGTTGCGTGAGAGGTCGTTCCAACGCTCGCAATCCAAATTGCCGGGCCCTCTGGCACGCAATAAGTTGCATGATTGTGTTTCTTCAGGCCTGTTGCTGTATTTCAGCCAGCGTTGTCTTGCCCTGAAAATGTTGAGATGATCATCCGAACCATCGATGTAGTTTGGTCCGCTTGGTATGTCGCTTTGTTGGGGAATTGGAGTAGGTAAGACGCCAACATTTGGCCTTCGTTCCTGGGGAATTGGAGTAAGTAGTTGAGGTGACAACGAGGATGTTTTTTTTGGCGGTAGTGTTATATACGACACCGGTGTCGTACTTCCTTATATACGACACCTACCATTTCTTGGCCCACAGGGCTCCAATCGGCGTACAACAAAATGCGCTGTGTAGCCACGGCCCGCAGCTATCAGCCCATA